TCCCAGGTTCGATTCCGGTCAAGGGCATGTACCTTGGTTGCGGGCACATCCCCAGTGGGAGGTGTGCAGGAGGCAGCTGATCGATGTTTCTAAATCTCAATCCCTCTCCCTTCCTCTCTGTAAAAAATCAATAAAATATATATATTTTTTAAAAGATAATTTGCCTGATTTTTTAAAATTAGTTATAAAAAAAAGAGATGGATGACTTGTCTAAATTTCAAAAAAGAAAAGTTCTAACCAAATGCGATGTGTAACATTTAACGAGATTCTGAATTAGAAAAACAAAACAACTATAAACTACATTTTGAAACCCCTGGGGACACCTGAATATTAATGTTATCATTGTTCAGTATGATAATAGTGTTTGGTTATATAACAGTCCTTTCTTATTCTTAGGAAAGGCAGGCTGCAACACTTCAAGTTCACCTTGTTATTTTGAAATGGCTCAGCAAGGAAAGATGGGTGTGCATCTGCGGAGGGAGAATGGAGAGCTGGAGACACATGTGTCAGGAGGCTGTGGGAGGGAAGATCTTAATGAGGGGAGATAAAAAGGTGCATTTCACTGCTTCTCAAATCTCCTACAGTTTAAATATTTCCAGAATAAGAAGCTGGAGAGAAAAGAGCACTGGAAATGCTAGACACTGCGTCCACAGTGGTGCATACCCAAGCAAAAAGCCTCAATAGTCCCCTTGGTCTCCAAGCCTCCGGTAGAAGAGGCAAGAAACCATGGCTAGGAATGAGGGAACTTGCCACCAATTTGTGTGCAAACAAAAAAGTTTCTAAACTGTTAAATAAAAAAGATCATAATCCTCTGGACTTGTTTTATTTGATTCTTATAGACACGCTAAAGGGTGGTATTCTTTGAGGAGTTATTTTTAAAAGAGAGTTTTATTTTAACTACTGAAGGAGAAGAAGACAGGAAGTTGAGCTGCTTTTTTAAATGTGAAAATACTGGAGAACAGAGTAGGGGCTATGTTGTACAAAATCCCCAATATAATTCAGAATACTATAGGGAGGTCCTAGAGTAACAATTATTTTTAAATTGGCTAATGCTTTAAATCATTAGCATTGTATTTGTACAATATTTGTCTACAATCAAATATATATATATATATATCCTATCTAATAATAGACAAACAGGGTAATTGACCGTACCTTCGCTATGCCTCCCATTGGCTAATCAGCGTGATATGCAAATTAACCACCAACAAAGATGGCGGTTAATTTGCATACGTAGGCTCCAAGCGGCAGAGTGAAGACTGAAGGCGAGCCGGGGCCGTGAAGACGGAGGACGGAAGGCGGCTCTGGCCGGGGCACGAAGACGTAAGACGGAAGGCGGCTCCGGCCGTGGCCAAAAAGACAGAAGACGGAAGGCGGCTCTGGCCGTGGCCGCAAAAACGGAAGACGGAAGGCGGCTCCAGCCGGAGCGAAGGCCTGGGTCCTGGGTGCCGGAGGAAAACCGGTGCCGGCAGCCAGGAGAAGGGAAGGCCTATTGCACGAATCTCTTCGTGCAACAGGCCTCATATATATATATATATATATATATATATGCGCACACAAGTACTGGTTTAAGCATAATTATATCTGATATAATACTATTTAAAGAAGTACACTTGGTTTTAATGTTTCTACTTTCCTTTACACCTTCCTCTTCATTAACTATGCACTTTTAATAGTCATTTGACAGCAGACAATTTCCTTCTCAGTATAAACTAAATGCAGAATACTAATCTAAAAGCTGCATTTAGTCATGGTCCATTAGTGCTCACGTTCACTGGGGATATTACTGTCTCTTCTAAACAATCATTTTATAATTTAACTTGTTTTATTTTAAGGAAATTTATAAATTATACCTTAAGAATAATCACATTGTCATTCAGGCTCAATTTCAAGTAAACAAACAAAAAAACCTCAATGCTAGGTTTTGATCAGTTGTTTCCCAGTAAACGGCTGTCACAAAGGACAGAGTGGGAACAGTGCACCCCCGGAGTGCCAGGTTCACTCCTCTGTGTTTAATAAATAGACAGTCATAGGGAGGTTCCGCTTCATTTAGATTAATGTGAAAACATTTTGAATTTTAAGATAAATTTATTTAACAACAAAAACATATAGCCCGGCTGGCATGGCTCAGTGGTTGAGCATCGACCTATAGACCAGGAGGTCACAGTTCGGTTCCCAGTCAGGACACATGCCCAGGCTGCGGGCTCGACCCCCAGTGTGGGGCGTGCAGGAGGCGGCAGATTGATGATTCTCTCTCATCACTGATGTTTCTCTTTCTCTCTCCCCGTCTCCCTTCCTCTCTGAAATCAATAAAAATAAATTTAAAAAAATTTTAAATAACAGTATTCATGAGAATACACAGTTCAAATTCAATCAAATTTATAAAAAGTGTGTTCTGATGAATGGCTCCACTACTGAGAAGGACCCTAAAGAACTTAAGCACGTTGGGAAGATCATGCCGATTTCCAGACCTCGCATGGCTAGCTCATAACAGATGAAAGGAGCCCCAGCCAATCTGCCGCAGTGATTAGAGTGTCAGCCCGCGGACTGAGGGTTGGTTAAGGTCAAGGGCACACAGGCTCGATTCGGGCCCTGGTCAGGGAGCATGCGAGAAGCAACCAGTCGATGTGACTCTCTCGCATCAATATTTCTCTCTCTCCCCCTCTGTTCCATTCTCTCTAAAAATATCAATGGAAAAAAATCCTTGGGTGAGGATTAACAAAAAAACAAACAAACAAAGATGAAAGGAGCTAAAGCTATCACCCTCATTTCTGTAGTACAATCAATTAAGCTTTTTTCATCTAACCAAACCCAACAGTACTCTTGCACAACTGTTCCACCTTCCAATGGTTTTAAAACAAAACATTTCACATTCAGGACCTGGTAAATATCCAAATGACCAAGTTCATCTTTCTCCCACCCCCTATCTCTGCCATATACTAAGCCCCTGTCCAAAAAAATTTACTTAAGCTACTGTATTACTAAAAACTACCGTATTAGTTTCCCACGGCTGCTACAGCAAATTACCACAAATTTGGTGGCTTAAAACAATGGAAATGTAATTCTCACAGTTTTGCAGGCTAGAGTCTAGAACCCAGATGCTGGCAGGCCTGGTTCCTGCTGGAGGGCTGAGGAAGAGCCCCCTGGCTTCCGGTGACAGAAGCACCCTTGGCCTTCCTCGACTTGTAAATGCATCTCCCAGTCTCTGCCTTTGTCCTCATGTGGTGTTCTCTCTGTTTCTCCTCTTTTGTCCTCTTACTATAAGACACTTGTCATTGGATTTAAGCTTCATTCAGATAATCCAGGATGATCTCATTTTAATATCCTTAACCTAATAACATCTACACTGACTTTTTTCCCAAATAAGGTCATATTCCCAGATTTTACACTGACATATCTTTGGGGGTGGGGGATCACCACTCTCTTCCTAGGATTAGTTTTATCCTCATCCTATATAATAAAAGCCTAATATGAAAATTGTCCCCCGGGCAGTCGTTCAACTGAGAGACCAGGAGTTCGACCACTCACTATGACTTGTGCTGACCACCAAGGAGCAGCATGGAACATGGCAGGCATCAGCGATGCAGCACTGGCAGCGGGCAGCAGTGGAGGCACTGCCGCCCCGATGGGCCCTGATGAGAGCTGGACTGCAATGGGATGGTGGAGCAGGTGAGCGGGGGTGCCAGGCCAAGGTGGGTGCGGGTGGGGGCCCGATTGCCCCACTGATCGTCCCGCAGATGGCGACCAGCAGCGGCGGCAGGGGGCGGGGCCGCCGCCAGCTCCCAGGCGCTGAGGGAGCCAGGCCCCGATTAATCACCCGCAGGCGGGATGGTGGAACAGGTGAGGGGGCAGCACCAGGCCAAGATGGGGTGCCAGGCGGGGCTGCGGGGCTATGAGGCTGAGGGTATGAGCTGGGGCTGCAAGGCTGGGGGCTCGAACTGGGGCCCAATCTCTGCAGGCCATCCCGAGGGACCCCACCCATGCACAAATTCGTGCACTGGACCTCTAGTCACTAATAAATACTTAAATCTTAAAAGAATTTATGAAACATCATGCCTTCTTTCTAAACCTTGTTTTTATTTCACATATTAGTTATCTGATAATTCTTTTCAATTATATATATTTTCTTATAAGTCCTTTTTTTGTTTTAATTAATCACTGTGAAAAGCTTGGTATGATAGATATTAAATGTTTTTACCTACAAGAATAGCATTTGTATGGATTACTGAAGTAGAAACCTTAGTGAGCTGCACACACTGATCTGGGCAGTCTTCAGTCTCAATGAGTTATGTTTTAATTTCTACCTATACAACCTATACACCCTAATCAGGATAAATACTCTTATAATGATATGGCTAATCATACAATTTTAACCTATTCAGGTACAACATGCCTGAAGTGTTCAATACTGCCATTAATTTCTTACATTATTACTATGATTTCATCATATACTAGTAAGATATCAATGTGCACATCATCAAATGAAATCTACTTTTTAAATTAACAACTTCACAAAATGTGAATATCTCCAAATTCTCTACATCAGACAAAGAAACAAACATTTCAGACTTAGATTTCACTATCAACGCTAGGAAACTGCTTCCCCGGTTAGGCTCCCACAAGCAGCAGCTGTCCTTTCTGCAGCAACAGAACAAGAACGCCGCTGCCCACCCCCCAAGCTCTGTCCCGGCAGAGCCACCAGAAACCTGGCGCGCGGCGGGGGTGAGTGTGGGCAGCTCTCTGATCTTCCAAGAATAATGTGATGGCCCAATCATTTGAAACTGAAGGAACCGTTTGGAAAAGCCTGGAGAGAGCACATGACAGACACAGCGCCCCCCGCCGCCCCCCAACCCCCCAGAAGTAGAGAGCGCCGAGGAAGGACTGGACTGCAGAGCCACGAAGGCGTTAGACTCTCCCCCAGAATGAGGCCTTTCAGGGACGACCTTTGGCCTTAGGCCCTTTTTTAAGAACAAATCAAGATGGGCGGGAACAATTCATACCTCCACCGGGAATAATTGCCAACTTTGTCTCAACCAGGCCCATTTTGGCAGAGGAAGCTGAAAAGGAAGGAATAAAATTAAGTAACATCCACATAATCATATTCATTGATGACTTTCCCACTCTGTCAATAAACATGCTATAAATACAGTAATCCCCCTTACCCACAATTTCTCTGCCCATAGTTTCAGTTACCTGAAGACAAATGCTGTCCGAAAATATTAAATCGGAAATTGCAGAAATAAACAATTCCTCAGTTTTAAAATAGCATTTGTGCTGAGGAGTGTGAGACCTCTCCGTCCTGCTGCGCCCACCTGGGCTGTGACTCCTCCCGCTGCGCAGTGTCTCCGGCTGCCCATGTGCCTGCTCATCAGTCGCTCAGCAGCCAGGAGGCCCTCAGAGTGAGTGCTCAAGGCACCCCCTTCTTTTACTTAGAAACAGCCCGAGTGCGGGAGTAGTGATGCTTGCAATGTGGAATGCCGGAGAAGCCAGTGCTTCCTTTCAGTGAGGAGTGTGTGTAAAGGGAAAAACATGGTATGACACAGGGCTCAGTACCACCCAAGCTTCCAGGCCTTCCCTGGGGTCTTGGAATGTAGATCCCTGGAATAAGGGAGAACAACTGTATTCTGTTTACTAATTAAATGTGTCACGAGTCCTTTTATCACTTCAGAAGGCATTTGGTTAAGAAAATAAGTAACACTCTAAACTATATACAGGGTGGGGCAAAAGCAGTTTTACAGCTGTATGTGAAACAGTTTATTCTGATATTATTATTTCTTTATTATGTTGCTTTCCATACGAACAACTGTAAACCTACTTTTGCCCCACACTGTACATTAAGAGACTCAAGCGTTTTCTGCTAGAAGCTGCTTGGCAGAGAGTAATTTTTGATGCCGAAAGACCACGGTGGTAACTACTGGTACACAATGTGGCCTGACGCTGCCGAGCCATCTGAAGGTGTGGCTCCGGTCATCACCTGGGATGAGGAGAGAGGCTGTGCCGACGAGTAAGAACCCTTCAGCGGGGACAGTTCTCCAGGTCAGGCCGCTTCGTGTATCCTGCCGGATACAGCACTTTTCCAGGCCAGGGGGTTTTACTGTCCTGCACTGGACAGGGTGCCTTTTCGTGTTTGTTTTAGGGCTACTTTCAAACACCCTGACTGTCCCTTTACCTGCATCTCCAAAAGCACTGGGACGCGTCCCAGATCCTAGTTCCCAGAAGCTGCATTCTTTCAGAAATGGGTTTCATGCGCCTTAGCTGCGCCACTTCATTTCAGACAAGAGAGAGATCCAAAATAAAGAGGAAAGGGGGAAGGTGTGCATGGACTAGCAACTGCAAATCCCAAGAAAGTTACCATAAAATTCTGAAAAACACACTTCACGGACTCTATGTTTACCAGGCAGCTCCACCAGAAGGAACAGTGGGAACCTGGGAGAAAAGTGACAACTACTTTCTGCCTGCTTCCTCCAGTCCCTGGTCCCGGAGCCTTCAGGTCACCGCCGAGGGAGCAAGGACTAGCTCTGCCATAGGTCAGGAGGCTGTACGGGACAGGGCCAGGTGCGGTGCTCTGGCAGGCTGGCAGGCGTGAGGGCTGACACCGGACTGCCTGGTTCCGATCCCAGTTCAGTCACTGATTTGGGGCTGGTTACTCCACCTCTCTGCCCGGCTTCCCAAAGCTCCACAGAGTACTTACCTCATCAGGCTGTTGCGAAGATGAAGCGAGTTACCACATGCCAAGTGCTGAGAATGAAGCTGGGCACCAAGTCAACACTCAGCACATGGCTAGCACTAATAGTTTTCATTATTCTTTTCATAGTCACCTCATCCAATCCTCAGTAAACCCCCAGGAAGAAAGTGAAGCCCCAGGAGATGAAGTTACTATTTCTATAGCTAACAGTAACTAAGTGCATGGACTAGACACATGCCACAGATAAACTCACTCAATCTTCACAACTGCAACCATGACTTCCCCCAGTTCAGAGGAGGAAACTGGTCAAAAAGGGCAGGACCTAAGGTTCACATTCAGTGTGTCTGACCCAGTTCCTGTTCTCCGTTCCTGCTGATGAGCGTGAACAAGAGACTATAGAAAACGGTTTTCTTCACTGGAATCTGAAGCACTTCATTAAGTCCAACAGGTGATTTTTTTTTCTAAATATTCTACTCAACAACAGGAAAAGAATAAAATATTTGGAATTTTCTGGAGACTAAGAAAAAACACACCTCATTTTTAAAATGTTATATTAATAGAATGATTCTCACCTGCCACTCGTATGTCACATGCTAATGCCAGTTCCAGACCACCACCTAAAGCGAGTCCGTCCAGGGCAGCGATTGTCGGCACTGGCAGGTTCGCTGCAATAGAAAGAAGGGTGTCATGCCTCTTTAGTAAGTTACCTTACTGTGTAATTGACCTTAGATTTTCTCCTGTAAATATATTTTTAAATGGGCTATTGCATATAGAATTTTGTGTCCCTTTTGCCTTTAACAAAATACCATTTCCTTCATTGTTGTCCCATCATATAAATATGCAATAGTACCTTTAAATCTTCCCATATTATTGAGATACTTTCATAAATACTTTTTGTTGAATCAACAAATTCAGACAGATTTCAAGTCTAAATGACTTAGTCCATGACCCTCCATGGGCTCCCTTGTGCTGAGGACGACCCTCTCATTGGAAGAAGTAACCATCTCCTCCAACAAGACAGAAGCAGCCCGCGTGGCTCGGGGGCATCAACACACTCGCTCTGTCCTTAGTCACCAGCACAATGCGCAGCCGCTGGGAGGTCACCGGACTCCACCTCATGCCACACTTCAGATGGACGAAGCTCTGAGAAAGCTCCGGAAGCCTACCCACAGCATGATGGGGAAAAGGTCAGCCAGTCACAGAACACAAACCAGACTCTCCTGAGTGCAGAGACAGCATGGTACCGACTGAGACCATTGTACAGCTAAATACTCAGGTTTCATTTCCATAACTGAATGTGGTGTCTGACGTGGGAATGTGAGCTGGGCGACCTGGCGAGGCACGGAAAAGGAAAGCTGCTCACTTCCAGACAAGACGCCACCAGCGCCAGCACCCCAAGGGAACTGACCCCGGAATATTTTCTTCTCAAGCTTAAACCTTTGCTCATGACCCCAGAGCAAAAGACACTGACACTTGCTACCAAGATTCATAAAAGCATTCTATTTTTCAATGCAAAGCTTCACATTTCCATAGTCGAAAATAACATAGGAAGGGTTCTGCTTCTTAGGGACGTGGCGTTAAGAGGCACCATCTCAACTGTCCTCGCCACAGAAGAGAGCCGTGTGACCTGACAGAGGTGTCAGCTAAGCTGTGGTGGTCATCACACTGCAATATTTAAATATAGCAACTCAACGAAATAGACACCTTCAGCTTATAGAATGTCATAAAAGTAGGTAA